AATGCGCACTGCACCCGATTCGTAGAAGAGGTCAGGGGGTGGTCGGGTTTTAAGTAAGGTGGCAGCAGTTTCACAGGTAAGCGTTCTGTCTACGGACTGAGAACAGTATGATGGTGCATGATGCTTCGCAGCTGCTCAGGAAGGCTGTTCCAGATGCGAGCGTAACAAACTTTGATAAGGTATTGGCGTGGGTATTTACTAGCTGGGGGGCACGTAAGAAATTACAAGAGTTACTGGGTCTGTAGCCAGGTCGAGAGTTAAAGTTTGATCCAACTTCTGCTATAAAGGCGTTTTTGTGGAGCAGACCGTGCAAGAGAGTCAGATTTATTTTAACCTTCTGAGCCATAGCGGTTCGACGCCCAGGAGGTAAGACGCCTGGGAGCGGTAAGAGAGGGGATTGGACCAAGGGAACAGCTTTTTCGTGAAGGAGCATTTGACATTTTTAATTGCGAGTCTGGAACGTTGAGTATAACTTGAAAAGAATGCGTGACAGGATTCCAGGATTGTTCCTACGCACGGCTTAAAAATTACAACCATTGTTTCTGGAAGGTGAGAGGAGTGCAGTATTTAAAAAGGGAACCTGTGTGCTACTGCAACATGGAACTGCACATAGTCGGAAATGCTCAGAACACAGGAGTATGTGAGGTGAAGATCTCCGATTATCGTGGAATAATTGATAGGAAATCCATTAATTGTGAGGGTGTCAGACGGGAGAGAACAGGGGCAGGAAGTTATGCAGGATTTTGTGGAGTAAAATCTAAGGCCAGGGTCGTCTGACCAACAAGTTAGTGGATCGAAGTCTCGCTTAATCTGGTGAAAGGCAAGGGCTTGTGCACAGGGGATTGTGTTTGCGGTTTTTATATCGTCCGCGAAGAGGAAGGCCTTACCGAGGGATATGCCTTCGGAAACGTCGTTGGTGTACAGTAAGAAAAGGATGAGTTTTAGCACGCTTTCTTCAACAACTCTACTGATGATCGATGGTGAAGATGATTGTGTCACCGGTTTGTGTTATTTGCATCCTGTCTGATTAGTAGGAGGCGAACCACTGGAATAAAATTCCAGTGATGCCAATGGCACTAAGTTTGTGTAGAGGAGGTGCATGAAGGACCTCAGCGAAGGCTTTTTGAATATTCAGTAAACTGCTACAGTGAGGTATCCAGCGTCGTAGGCTGCCGTGATGGTCTCAAAGAAGTGGATCTGGCAGCCACTAACTGAACTTTTGAACAGAAATTAATACTGCCGGTTATCTCCGACACTGGTAGCCAGGGGGAACTCGATTAATGGACCTTTGGCCGGGCGTTCGAGGGTTCTCGTTAGGAGGGAGTTATGATGGATTCCCCCGCAGATGGAATAAGTTTGTCTAGAACCAAATTCGAAATGCGGGTGGATTATGGATTTCTTCCACTGGGAAAGGGCGATTCCATAATTTAAAGAGTGCATAAAAATATTTAGCACAAGGATTCCAATATCTTGGCCGCCTTGTCTCAAGCGTGGGGTGGAAGGTCGTCGGCTCCAGGTACAACAGAGTCCT